AACGCCGGCCGAGAGAGAGAGAGAGAGAGAGAGATTAAATTGTTAAATTATTAATAGGTGATACAACATTAATTAAAACAATAAAAATAACGCATTAATTACAATATAATATTATGATTATGCAACTATGAGCTTTTTCAACTCAGCACGGTTAATCTTTTTTAACGATGTCATGGGCATCGAGTTTAGTATACGTACACCACCTCTAAGTTTCTTATAGTAATTGACCCGCGAGTCCACGTAATCAACAATCTCTTGGGCCGATACAGTCGAGCCCTGGGCTAGCGTTACAAAAGCCATGGGAACTTCACCCCTGTCCTCATCCCTGACCCCAAACACCGCGGCGTTTATTACATCCCTATGGGTTAGCAATACGTTTTCAATCTCGGCCGGCGTTACAATTGTCCCTATAATATATAATTACTTTAATTAATAAAATTACACAAATTTGAATAATATTTTTAAGTTTTATCCCTACATCAATTAATTTTATAATAATTATTTACTATTATAGTCAAGATAAACATGTATATTATCCCGTATGGTTAAAATGAACAATTTTTATAATGATAATAATTAGTATTAAATACGGTATTAATTGTTTTGTTGGCATTACTTTCAACATTAATGATGTCTTTGATTCGGCCGACGATATAAATGAAACCATTTTCATCATAATATCCAATGTCTCCGCTCTTGAGAAAGCCATCGGTGGTAAACACTTTGGCATTTTCATCAGGGTTATTCAGATAACCTGGTGTTTTCTGCCATAAAATAAAAGTACCATGAACAAATAAAATACAATTAAAGTATAATTCATTTTTGTAGCTTAGAATAGTTACCTGCGGCCCATCCAAACAAATCTGACCATGTGTGTTGGGTGGCAGTGAGTTTTCTCTATTATCAATTACTTTCAGCCGAGTGTTAAATGTTAATTTACCGACATTAGTGTAATCACTACAGGCGTGGCAGCCAGTCACCGGGACCTGGCTGACCCAGCCTACTTCGGTCATTCCATAGCCTAACATGTGCCAATTTTATATAAATAAAAATATAATTTAATATTTAAAATAAAATTAATTTACAAGTAAGCAGACTTACACATTCTAAACTTTTTAAATGCGTACTTGTCCTGAATGCACCGGAACGTGGCCTCGGCTATCGGTGCCGCACCTGTAGTCACATCGCGTAGACTTGTCAAATAATCTCGATCAATTTTATCATAATTTTTAGCCAAATAATTGAGCTGGGTGGGTATCAGAAACCCGGTGGTTATGCCATACTTATTAATATTGCCATAAATATCATCTAGATTTTCATCGACCCGAACGATAGCCAACTGCGCGCCGGCGTTGATGGCTGAAAACAGGCACCGCTGGCCGGAAGCGTGACAAAAGTTGCTAGATAACATGATATCATCATGGTTCATCCATTGCATCTCCCGGTGCTGTAAGGCCTCCACTGTTGCCAAATGATTGCCATTGGTTTTGATGATAGCCTTGGGAGCACCGGTGCTGCCACTGCTCAGCCCGTATGTGGCCGTATCGTTGAGTTGTGTCCGCACCGGTAGGTGTAGGCTATAGTCACGTTGTTTAGTGAATATGTCTTCGAGGGCTGGCGTTGTGATGGAGGGGTCCGTCGGCCGGTCTGTTATCAGTAGTTTCTATAAGTAAATAAATTTTTTTGAATATGGTATATTTATATTTTAGTTGTTTAAAGTAATTAATGCTTATTTTATTTATCTAGCAAAAATTAATTGTAGCAACACAAAATAAATTACCAATTAAAAGTATTGTGCTAATTTAATTTAACTTAATAAAATTTATATTTTATAGTTACAGTTTATAGTATGTTTGTTACATTATTATACAGTACAGAAAATTATTAATTAATATTTTTATTTGGTATGAATAATTCAAGTTTACTTAATTTTAAGTAAAATAATTATTTACTTTTAGAAATGTAACTCAACTTGTTTAAATAAAATAAAATAAATTTGTATTATATTATAAAAGTGTATAGTTATAGTAAATTGTAATAGTAAAATTATAATTAAATAGTAGTAATTTTAATTATACTTTATGCTAAGCCCATTATAACGTTATATTTATTTACTTTTAGAGCATGATAAAAATACTCATTTGCATATTTACAGTCCCTTAACTGAATATTTATAATTTTAAAACACGTGTCTGATATAATTAATAAAAATGCAATTATTTAAGCATAAAAATTTTAAGCTATAAGTAAATATAAACATACTTTAACAAAGATAAATTGCTGGCATAATTCACGGACAGCATCATGGTTCTTTTCAAAACATACAACAATCGATGGCTTAATGTTTGCGATGTTTGCCTTGATTTCATCTAAAGTTCATAAACATTAATTATTTTAAAAATATCATAATAAAAATATAACCAATTCTATTTACCAAGAGAGTGTTTATTAATGTGTAATTAGTGTAATTATAAATATTAATTAATATTACCGAGTGATGAGTGCTCTGCAAGACAGCAATAGACAAGTCCGGCGGCGAGAGAGCCGATGAGACCCACGGCGTGAATGTCGGAGTTGTTGGACGCGAAACATATGACCTCTCCTTTACGGACAGCACATTCCCGGAGCAAATAGTGGGCAAAGTTTAGCCCTGAGTCCAGCACTTGTTGTTTTGACCACTTTCTTCCTAACGTACAGTCAATCTATGGTTAATTATATTATGAATTATTATTTATTAAACAATATTATAGTTAGTTATAATTATTTTAATGTAAATCACGTACAAAACAACTTTTCTCCGATTCAATGCTCAGTTTATCAATGAGTAAATCAATCACAGAGTTATGATTTAACTTGTCTTCACACGTATAATCTGATTGGATAATATAATTGTTCATGATTAATTTTGTACAATTAATTAAAAATTATTATTCCATGTAAATAACTTTTTAAAAAAAAATAAAAATTATAGCCTATTCTGGTATTTATCTTAATATTTATATCGGTAATGTAGATAAGTTATCAACGTTAGGCTGAGTTCACAATTTGATAATGATCATTTATAAAGTAATACAAATAAAGTGCGGCCCACAAGGGGTGGGGTGTACTTAATTTTACTTATTAAATTTTACATTTATTTTATTAATACTTACATGTATTTTCAATACCAATATAAATAATATATCCCAATTAACTACATTAATCATTTTGCTCAATAAATAATTTTGTTTTATCAAATAAAACATAAAATTGATAAAATTATTAACATTACGTTACTTTAACATACATTAAATGTAAACTGTATATTAAATGCAAGTATTTTCAGCAATTGAATCGTGATAAAAACTGCGGTCAAAATGCATACTGATAAATGTGTTCATATTAAATGATAAAACTTTTTTAATTCTGTATAACATGAGAAAAATAAGAAAAATATATTTATTTATTTAAAATTAACTTGCGCAAAATCTTTTCAATGCGTTTTATTATGATATAAATTAATAAATAAAAGTTACATGTATCAATTTTCCTTATTATTATTAATTTGACTTTATTTGTGCATTTAATAGAATTTTAACCTTAGCTAAGAAGGCTGAGACTACAATTACTATAATGCCCATGACAAAATAGTTGGAATATTCTCGATTAAATTAGAATGTAATGGAAAAATTTATCTATGTCAAAACCATAGTAAAAACTAATTATAAATTAATTAACTTTATATAAACCTCTGTTGACATAATTAATTGTAATATGTGTTGCGCTAAACGCCAACTGTTTTCATGAATTTAGTGATTATTTTAACACAAATTAATTAATCTAAAAAAATTACTAAAAAATTAACAAAAAATAATAAAATTTACTAAAATTTACTAAAAATATTATAATCAATAAATAATTAAATAAATAACAATCTTAATAAATTACATACAACTATAAAAACAATTATATATTTATGTGTACGTGATCAACCGGAACATCCACCATGCTGGACTCGCTGTTAAAAATTCTCACCTTGCTCACCGTATTGGCCGCGCAACTGCCGCACACCCGGTGCTGTGTTTGCACACAACCACTAAACCCGCAATTCCTATGCATAGACGACGAGTGCAACGGCGACACCGGCGACGGGACAGACAGTCTCGTACACCACTATTGCAACTCTAACTTTATCATCAAAATCATGATAGTGTCCGACCGGCTATTCTCGGCTATACCGGGTTCGTTCAACACCCGAGTCGGGTACAGGTATAAACTGGTTCACACGTACAAACTGGACGACGGTATGGCACCGGCAGTAGACTCGCAAATCGTGTGGACATCTCAGGACACATGCGGGGTATCGTTTCGTAGGGGACGGCTGTATATCATTAGCGGCGCCGTTGACAAAGACAGACAAACCGCGCGCACCTCTACCTGCGACTACGTGCGCCCCGTCAAAGATCTCAAAGTGGACGAGATCAATTTTTTCGGTCTCAAACACAAGGCGATAAATTGTACCAAAATGGACCAGGCTGAAATACTTAGCCCCGATCGGTTGGAAAATAGCACAGGACTGGTAGAGAGCGACGCCGACCGGGCCCTACCTTTAACTAAAATAGGAGGGGGTGGAGGGGCGTCGGGCGGGGTCGGGAACCCACCGGCAAGTATCATCAATCGCCCGGTGCTGCCCGATAGGGCCTGTTATTGCGGACCCACACCCGCCGGCGGGGGAGTTCTCGGTCCGGGACTGTCGGCCATTAACATAGGGTTGGGTGCGGCCAATAATAACGGCGAAAACGGTTGGAGTAATATCCAGGGCGGTCTGAATCTGGCCATTGCATCGGGCAATGGCAACACCGGTCAGGGCTTGGGCTCCGCACAACCCAGCGGTGGCGGACGGGGCTGTGTTGTT